GCTGCTGTCAGGCTGGTGCAGTGCCCTGATGGCTTGTCCTGTGTTCTGCTGCTCTTGCAAGGTCCCCTCACTCTCTGGGAGGGAGCATGGAAGAGCCCAGAGCAGCCCCTGGCACCCTCCCATCCTCTCCCCAGGGAGTCCTGAATTTCGTGCAGTACAAGTTCAGCCACTTGCCGCCCAAGGAGCGCCAGACCATGTATGAGCTCTCCAAGATGTTCCTGCTGTGCCTCAACTACTGGAAGCTGGAGACACCGTCCCAGTTCCGTCAGCGCTCCCAGAATGACGATGTGGCCACCTACAAGGTCAACTACACCAGGTGAGGAGAGCAGGGGGCCACTGAGCCAGCCACCACAAGCACCCACTGGGGCCAAAGCTTCTGAATGTCAGCTGTGCCTTTCATCCAGCCTGCTCCCAGCAGCACTGTCCCAGGAGGGATATGGTTGCTCTGTGGTCTCTGGTTCCAGCCCTGTCTCCAGAGCCCCTTCCTGTCCCACAGGTGGCTGTGCTACTGCCATGTGCCACAGAGCTGTGACAGCCTGCCCCGCTATGAGACCACCCACGTCTTCGGGCGCAGCCTCCTCAAGTCCATCTTCACGGTGACCCGCCGGCAGCTGCTGGAGAAGTTCCGGGTGGAGAAGGACAAGCTGGTGCCGGAGAAGCGGACACTGATCCTCACCCACTTCCCCAAGTAGGTGCCCAGTGTGGAGATGGCTGCTGGAGCACTGAGGGCGCTCCTCCTTTGGGATGCTTGTGTGCTGATGTGCCACTCCCTTCCAGGTTCCTCTCCATGCTGGAGGAGGAGATCTATGGTGAGAACTCTCCGATCTGGGAGGCTGATTTCACAGTGCCAGCTGCAGAGGGTGCCCAGCTGGTGTCTCGCCCAGGTATTTCAGGAATCAGCTCCCCCTGTTTGGGGGCTGAGGGATAAAGGGTCAGGGTGTGGCAGAGCAGTGGCAGTGACTGGGCTGCTGTGGTGTGATGAGGCATTTTCAGTCGTGGGCACCATGGGTCTGTTGCAGCTGCAGTCAGCACCGTTGCCGTGCCCACCACTCCTCTCTTCAGCAAGAAGCTCAGCAGCAGCAGCTCGGCCACCAGCCTGGACACCAGCACCCCAGAGCCCCTGCCAGGTAAGGTCCCATGAGCCCATGCCAGAAAGCCGGAACTGTCCGTGGTCCCTCCCAGCACTGGATGTGCCGCTCTGCTCCCATGCCAGGAGAGAAGAGGAAGCTCCCTGAGAGCCTGACGCTGGAGGATGCCAAGCGGATCCGTGTCATGGGAGACATCCCCATGGAGCTGGTGAACGAGGTCATGCTGACCATCACAGACCCTGCTGCCATGCTGGGCCCCGAGGTATGCCCTGCGGCTGCTGGGACGTGCCTCTGGCCCTCTCCACGTCCCACAGAGCTGCTTCCCCAGCATGCCAGGGTTGTGAGTGGGCTCCCCCAAAGAGGGTGTGCAGGGTCAGTGACCCCCCCCGTGCCCCCAGACCAGCCTGCTGTCGGCCAACGCGGCGCGGGACGAGACGGCGCGGCTGGAGGAGCGCCGCGGCATCATCGAGTTCCACGTCATCGGCAACTCGCTCTCCCAGAAATCCAACAAGAAGATCCTGATGTGGCTGGTGGGGCTGCAGAATGTCTTCTCTCACCAGCTGCCCCGCATGCCCAAGGAGTACATCACTCGCCTCGTCTTTGACCCGTGCGTGGCTGGGGGGTGCATGGGGGCCGGTGTGGGGGGCTCCCCTCACCCTCGGCCGTGCTGCCCACAGGAAGCACAAGACCCTGGCACTGATCAAGGATGGACGAGTGATTGGGGGCATCTGCTTCCGCATGTTCCCTACCCAAGGCTTCACGGAGATTGTCTTCTGTGCTGTCACCTCCAATGAGCAAGTGAAGGTGAGAGCAGGCAGGTGGGCACACGCACCCTGGCGTGGGCAGGATGGTCTCTCTGTAGCTGGTGTAGCCCCTTGGGCAGCCAAACCTGCTCTGCACTGGCCAGCCCCAAGCTGCAGTAGTTGCTCCAGCTCATCTTCCAGCTGCCCTTTCCGTGGGTGGGAGGGGGTTGTTTATCCCAGCTGGGGCTGCCTGGGGGGGTCCTTGTCTCATGGTGCTTCCCCAAGGGCTATGGGACACACCTGATGAACCACCTGAAGGAGTACCACATCAAGCACAACATCCTCTACTTCCTCACCTATGCAGACGAGTACGCCATTGGCTACTTCAAAAAGCAGGTGGGCTCCTTTCCCTGGGAGCTGCTCCCAGCTCTGCTGCACACCTGCCTCCTCCCACCTACCCTCTCCCACCTGCCTCTCTCTCCTAGGGCTTTTCCAAGGACATCAAGGTCCCCAAGAGCCGCTACCTGGGATACATCAAGGACTACGAGGGGGCGACCCTGATGGAGTGTGAGCTGAACCCCCGCATCCCCTACACCGAGCTTTCACACATCATCAAGAAGCAGAAGGAGGTATGGCCCAGGGGTGGGCACAAGGGTGGGTGACTGCAGCCATCCCCAAAAGCAGAGGAGAGGTGTGGGGCTGTGCTGGCCCTGAGAGCAGACTTGCAGGGCAGTGAGGGAGCACTGGTGACATTGACATTAGCTGGGGTTGTCTCTGGTCCTGCACGGTGGGTTTGTGGGGTCCCACATCACAGTGTGTGGCTCCCTGGAGCATCCTGCAGCCCCCACTCCTCTGCACCCTTCCAACCCCCATTCCCTGCAGATCATCAAGAAGCTGATCGAGAGGAAACAGGCGCAGATCCGCAAAGTCTACCCGGGCCTGACCTGCTTCAAGGAGGGGGTGCGGCAGATCCCCATCGAGAGCGTGCCTGGCATCCGTGAGTCCTGGCAGGGGGTCTGGCAGGAGGGCTCTGTGCTCCCTCCCCATGGCTGCAGTGCAGACATGGTGACACTGGCACTTGTCTTCCAGGAGAAACAGGATGGAAACCACTGGGGAAGGAGAAGGGGTGAGTGCTGCATGGGGTGGGGGTAGATCTGCAGCAGCAGGGCTGGGGGCTCAGCTCGGGCTGTGCCTCAGTCTTGGTGTTTTGCTGGCCCTGGAGTGGAGAGAGGCTGATGGGCACTGCCTTTGTCCTGCAGGAAGGAGCTGAAGGACCCAGACCAGCTCTACAACATGCTGAAGAACCTCCTGGCCCAGATCAAGGTGTGGGCAGGAAAGGACCCTCACTCCGGGGTGCCTGTCCACCTGACAGCCCTCAGAGCTGCCTCCCTTGGGATGGGCTGTACAGGGCTTTGCCCTTGGGGACTGCTGGGGTGACCCAGGTGTGGGGGAAGCAGCACCCCTGGGTGCTGGAGCAGACAAGGGTTGTGTGTTCATTGCTCCAACTGCCCCCCACTTCTCCCCAGACCCACCCCAGTGCGTGGCCCTTCATGGAGCCAGTGAAGAAGTCAGAGGCACCAGACTACTATGAGATCATCCGCTTCCCCATTGGTAGGTTGCTGTGTCCAGCCCCCCAGGACAGGACTGCAGAAGAGGAGGCTGAGAACCCCACATTAATCGTGGGCTCTGTGCTGGGGACTCGTGCTTGGGGCGGTGGGAGCCTGGGGATGGTCCAGAGTGAGAGAGGGGTGAGCTGAGACATGGCTGGTATCCATGTCAGTGGCTGGGGCATGCAGAAACCTGGGGAGGGGTCCTGACCTGTCCCACGTGCAGACCTGAAGACCATGACGGAGCGGCTGAAGAACCGCTACTACGTCACCAAGAAGCTGTTCATCGCCGACCTGCAGCGCATCATCACCAACTGCCGCGAGTACAACCCGCCCGACAGCGACTACTGCAAGTGTGCCAACACCCTCGAGAAGTTCTTCTACTTCAAGCTCAAGGAGGGGGGGCTCATCGACAAGTAGTGAGGGCTGGCCTGGATCTGCTGTGGCCACCGGTCCTCCCATGGGAGGGACAGGGCTCCTGTGGGATCCAGCCCCACTCTTTCTGTTGGTAGGAGCTGCTGGAGGGATTGGTGCTGCTGAGCAGCCTGGGGAGCTGGGCTTTCCTTCTTGGGAAGCCACAGGGGCTGGGGGAGTGGTGCTTTTATGCTTGAGGTGCTCTGGCTGCCTCTCCTAGGGAATTGGAGCTGCCTCATCAGGATCTGCCCAGGGTAGGGACAGCACTGAGCTCCTGCCTCTGCCTGGGGAGGGGGAGCCCCCTGATCCCTGTGCATCCCCCTTACCTGGGATCGTGCCTTCTGCCCTGACTCCCTGTGACAGGGCAGGGGCACACAAGTGCTTTGGTTTCTGCTCCGTCCACTTACAGGCAGCCCCTGCCCCTCACACTGAATGTACGGCGGGGTCAGCCCCGCGCTGCCCGCAGCGGTGCTGCTCCTGGGCCAGGGTCCTGCTGGGCAGGGGGCTCTGCCCTGCACACCCAGCTCCTGCTGCCTCTGTCAGCTCTTCCCTCCCCCGAGGCAGGTCTGCCTTCCCTGCCTGTACATCCTCCCTGCCTGTCCTTGCTGCCAGCTGGGGAGTGGGGGGCTGCCAGCCCCAGTCCTGCCCCTCTGAGTGCCAGGGAGGGTGGCTGCCCGGTGCTGTGCTGGCCTCTGCTCCCTGCTGTGCTCTGGCTGGCAGCCACCTCTGCTTGTCCCCACCTTGCTCTCCCCTCCTTGTGCCCCCCACCCCTTTCCCTGCCCCCCACTCCCCCATTCCACTTGACTGGTGTTTTCATTGATTTGTTTGTTTGTTTGTTTTTTTAATAAATGTCCTTGTGCAGCCCTAGATCCATCCTTGGGGCTCACCCCAGTGTGGTAGGTGGGGGCGACAACCTGGGATATTCTGGATGGTGCTGGGGACGGGAACAGGAACAGCTCGGGATGGGGAGAGTGAAGATCCCCGTGGCTGGGCTGGGGTGCGCTGGGCAGAATTGGGGTGCAGAGCTTGTTTGGGGTGTAGGGTGTTGACAGGCGGAGGCGCAGGGGCGATCTGGGTGCGGGGAGGTTCTATGGGAGCTCCACTCAGTTTTGGTTTCGGTTCCAGTTCGGAGCCGGGGCTCCCGGGGGATCCCGGCGGGCGGCTCGGTTCGGCTCGGCTCGGCTCGGCTCGGTTTGCCCCAGCGCGGCCGGCGTGGCCCCCCCTTGCCGGGCCTCCCCCGTGCCCCGCCCGCCGCTCTCGGCGCCGCCTCCAGTTTCGTTTCCCGGCTGCGGCGGCTCCGGGACGCGGAGCGGCGGGGAATGGAGCTCCGGGGGTACCAGCGGGAGGCGGCGGCCCCGGCCCTGCGCGGCCGCAACAGCATCGTGTGGCTGCCCACGGGCGCCGGCAAGACCCGCGTGGCCGTCCACGTCTGCCGGCGACACCTGGAGAGCCGGCGGGGCGCCAAGGTGGCCGTGCTTGTCAACAAGGTGCTGCCCTGCCCCGGGACCGCGGGGACACCGCTGGTGGTGCTGGCCGGTGCTGAGTGTGGTCCTGTGGGCGCAGGTGCACCTGGTGGATCAGCACACCGAGAAGGAGTTCCACGCGCTGCAGGACACCTTCAGGGTGACGTCCATCAGTGGGGACACCAGCCACAAAACCTTCTTTGCCGACCTGGTGAAGAAGAGCGACGTTGTCATCTGCACAGCGCAGATTCTGCAGAACGCCCTGGTCAGCACGGAGGAGGACTTGCACGTGGAGCTGACAGGTGGGCACCAGGCTGCATCTACTGCTGTGGCTGAGCCCCCAGCCGAGCAACCATCTCACCCCGCTCCCCTCCCTGGCCTGGAGCAGATTTCTCACTGCTGGTGATAGACGAGTGCCACCACACGCACAAGGACGCCGTCTACAACAAGATCATGCTGAGATACCTCCAGCGCAAGCTCAGTGGGGAGCAGGACCTGCCACAGGTCCTGGGGCTGACGGCATCCCCTGGCACTGGAGGGGCAACATCCTTTGAGGGAGCTGTGGAACACATCCTGCAGGTGCGTCCTGTGCCCCCTGTCCTGTTTCAGCACAGCTTCCCCTGGGGTTCAGCAGGGTGTTCCTCGGGATGGGGGTTGATGCCCAGATGTGTGGGTACTGGGCAGCTTGGAGGAGTCATCCCCAAACTGCATTGTCCTGGCAGCTGGGCTCAGGGTAGAAGCAGGGTCTTTTCCTCTCAGATCTGTGCCAGCCTGGACACTGAGAAGATCACATCAGTGCAGGATGAGTTGCAGCACCTGCAGAGCCACGTCCCCCAACCCAAGAAGCAGTATGACCTGTGCCAGGAGAGAGTGCAGGTGAGGGATGGCTGCTCAGAGCCATGGGGTGCTCGCTGGGTGGAAGATGAGACCCCCAAGCCCTGCTGGTGAGGGGCCTTCATCTGCTTTGCTCAGGCCAGTGTGAAAAATCGGTTGACCCAGAGCTTTGGTGCTGGGAGATCCTGCAACTATCTGCGTCCCACCATGCAAGCAGCCACAATTCCTGGGTCCTGAGCCCCTCTCTGCTCCCAGGACCCCTTTGGTGAGCAGCTGAAGAAGGTGATGGTGCAGATCCAGCAGTTCATGGAGAAGGCGGATTTCCCGCAGGACTTCGGCACGCAGATTTACGAGCAGCGCATTGTGGAGCTGGAGAAGACAGGTGAGGGTGTGGCAGGCTGGGTGTGGCACGGCTGAGCCGCGGGGCCAGGCTGTGACTGCCGTGTCCCCTGCCCTGCCAGCTACAGAGATGTTTTGTCGCAAGACGCGGGTGTGCGCCCTGCACCTGCGCAAGTACAACGACGCCTTGCTGATCAACGACACCGTGAGGATGGTCGACGCCTTCCAGTGCCTCGAGCAGTTCTACAGCACCGAGAGGGATATGAAGGACCCCACTGAACAGTTCCTCACTGCCACGTTTGAGGGTAACAGAGGGGCCTAGAGGGGGGTGATGCTGGCTGCATTTGGGGTGCAGGGAGTGTCCCTGACACCCCGCTCACCTGTGCAGAGAACAGGGCGAGCCTGCAGGCACTTGCTGGGGATCACCGCTATGAGAACCCCAGGCTGGCCAAGCTGGAGGGGATCCTGCGTGAGCACTTTCAGCCCCTGGGCACTTCTCGTGGCATCGTCTTCACCAAGACAAGGCAGAGTGCCCACAGCCTGCTCAGCTGGCTGCAGACCACGGCCACGCTCCGTGGGCAGCACATCAGGGCTGCCGTCCTCACCGGCACCGGCTACAGCAACCAGACCAGGCACATGACACAGGTGAGTGCAGGGTGGGCAGGAACTGCACCCGCCCCACTTTGCACATTTTGGGGGTCTCAGAGCCCTACACAGCTGCTGAAACATCACCCCCCTGTCTACCCAGAATGAGCAGCAGGATGTGATCAAGCAGTTCCGCCAGGGATCCCTCAACCTGCTCTTCTCCACCAGTGTGGCCGAGGAGGGCCTGGACATCCCCGAGTGCAACATCGTGGTCCGCTATGGGCTGATGACCAACGAGATTGCCATGATGCAGGTGCTGCCCAGGCTCCCTCTGGCCCTGCCAGGATCCCCCAAAGTCACGGGGGTGGGACATGGGGGCTCTTGCATTCCCTGCAGGCAGCTCCTTGGGGATGAGCCCAGCCCCTGGCAGAACATCTCCATGGCAAGGCGCAGGGGAGGGTGGAGGTGGCTCTGTCCTCACAGGGTAGCACAGAAGAGTTGGCTGTGTCCCTCTTCTGTTGACTGCAACTGTTGACCTTGCCCTGCAGGCCCGGGGCCGTGCCCGTGCTGAGAACAGTGTCTACTCTGTCCTTGCCAAAGCCAACACCAGGGAGGTGACCCGAGAGCTGCTCAATGAGGACCTGGTGGAGCTCATGAAGAGCGCAATTCAGGCCGTGCAAGCCATGCCTGAGCAGGAGTACTTCCAAAAGGTGGGTACTGGGTGCTGCTGGGGGCACTGGCAGGGCCAGGCAGCTCTTGTTGCCTGCTGTGTCTCAGGGAAACACCAGATCCTGGGATGGGGTCGTGTGAGGGGTCTGGACCAGCGTGTCCCCGTCCTGCCCTGCCTGTCCCTCTCTGTGCTTGATGCATCCCTCGGTAGCCATGGATCTTGCTGTGTCTGCCATCTGTCCTGTGCTGACCCCTGTCCCCCCCTGTTGGGGTTCATTTGGCGGGGCTCCCCAAGCTGTTTGTTCGCTGGTAGCAGCAGGCAGGCAAGGAGACTCCACACGGCTTCTGAGGGTGCTGATTAGATGAGGGTTTATTGGGGGTCCCACCCGTGGGAGCAGCATGGTTACTGAGGGAGAAAGGGGAAGGGGGAGGGAGGGGGAGAGAAGGGCCAAGAGGGCGACTGGTCTGCCTTGCACAGCTTAAGAGGGAGATTCAAAGTGGGAGCAGAATAAGATTTGGGCCAATGTGGTTACAGATACATGAGACTTCAGGGCAGGACCACAGGCTTGGAATAAACCATACATTTTGGAGCCTGCCATTTAACTAAAATGCACCACCACACCCCCCAGATCCAGGAGCTGCAGCGGGTGGCCGTGGCCAGCTGGCTGATGAAGGAGGCCAGGATCAGCGAGCGGCGGCAGCTGCACGACCCGGCCGCCGTTCGCCTGTACTGCATCAACTGCAACAGGGCCGTGTGCCAGGGCAGCGACATCCGCACGGTGGAGGGCATGCACCACGTCAACATCAACCCCAAATTCGGGTAGGAGGCTCATGGGCAGGCAGATGGGTAAGGGTAGCACCAGCCTGCTGCCAGCTCTTTGTCAGGGACCTCGGTACAGGGGGATTGCAGGAGCTTTGTTTGACTGTGGGAGCACCTGTTTGTGTCCCCTGCACCATCATCCTTACTGTCCGGTGGCCCCTTCCTTCCAGGTCATATTACAGAGTTTCCTCTGGGAAAATACAGTTCCCGAGGACTTTCAAGGACTGGGAGCCCGGCTGCCGCATTTCCTGCAAAGACTGCAGCCAGGTGAGCACCACAATTCCCCTGTGTCTGCAGCCCAGTCAGAGCTGGAGGGGCAGGAAGGGCTGTGCCTTGTGCCCCAGCTCACAGCTGCACACGCCTGTGTCATGTGTGTGCTGCGGGACACGGGCACAGGCTGTCTCCAAAGGAGGGACATGCCTTGGGATATGCCTTGGGTCTCAAATCATCCCTTTCTCACTCTGAACTGTCCCCTGCCTGTGGCCCTGCAGCCTGGGGACGCTGTGTGTGCCTCGGGTAACTGTCCCCTCCCTGTCACACAGGACTGGGGGATGGAGATGCTGTACCGGCAGGTGAAGCTGCCTATCCTCTGCATCAAAAACTTTGTGGTGGAGACACCAGCAGAGAAGAGGAGGTACAAGAAGTGGGGTGCTGTGACATTCCCCATCAAGGCGTTTGACTACCTGGAGTACTGCTCTGCCACCTACAGCCTGTCCTTCTAGCACAGGCTGTGTTCAGCAGAGTATTCACAGGGTATTTTCAGGGTGCTGCATGAAAAGGGGAGGCTTCCTCGACCCTTGGACAGAAAGCCATGGCTCACTCCTCTCTTCCTCACTGGTCTGAGCCCCAGCAGCCCATCCCAAGCTGGAGCCCATGGCTGCTGAAGGAGCTTTGCTGCACCCATGTAGGAAGGATGAGATGCTGGGATTGAAAACCACCCAAACCCTTCCTTGCTCCCCATGCTGCTGCCTTCTCCCCCACAACCCTGCAAGGAGAACCATCCCTTTCTGTGGGTCCAGGACACAGCCCAGTGCTTCTCCACTCTGATTTATGAACTTGAAGTGTCTCCATTAAAACACACACGCTAGACTGAACGGGCAGGGTGGCTGCATCACTCGTGGCAAGAGCTGGTTGGGTACAGGAGGCTTCGAGGGGGGACAGTGCCCCAGAGCCAGAACCCACTGTGCCCTGTGCCAGCAGAACAGGGGTCCCCAGGGGACAGTGAAGCCTGTGAGGCTGTCCCGGCCCTACCCCAGCCACAGACAGTGCCTGAGCGACCCGTCTCACCCACGCACCCAAGACCGAACCTTCCCGAGGCGCAGGACGAGCCGAAACCCCTCTGGGGCAGCCCAGGGGTCCCTGGGGGGCTCCGGGCGTCCCCTCCGTCTCACCTGGGAGCTCCCTAGGAAGTTTTGCATCCGAGCTGCGGAGGAGCCGCGGGGCTTGCGGCAGGAGCCGGGACCGGGCTCGGGCACAGGACCGGGCCGGTTGTGGGACGGGGGATTCGGTACCACGGGCTCGAGTACCGGGGATTGGGTACCGGGAGATTGGGTACCGGGGGATTCGGTACCACGGGCTCGAGTACCGGGGGATTGGGTACCGGAGGATTCGGTACCGAGAGATTGGGTACCGGGGGACTGGGTACCGGGGGATTCGGTACCGAGAGATTCGGTACCGGGGCATTCCGTACCGGGGCATTCCGTACCGGGTGCCCAGCCCCGGGCCGCCCGTGCTGCCCCGCCGCCGGCCGCTAGAGGGAGCCCGGGGCCGGGCTGGGGGATGCCCGGGGAACCGGGAAACGATCCGGGGGGACCGGGGGATGCCCGGGGAGCCGGGAAACGATCCGGGGGATGCCCGGGGAGCCGGGGGATGCCCGGGGAACCGGGAAATGATCCGGGGGACCGGCGGTGCCCGAGGAGCCGGGGGATGTTCGGGGAACCGGGAAACGATCCGGGGGGACCGGGGGATGCCCGGGGAGCCGGGGGATGTTCGGGGAACCGGGAGATGCCCGCGATTCGGGGGGACCGGAGGATGCCCGGGGAACCAGGGGATGCCCGGAGAACTAGAGGATGCCCAGGGAACGGGGAGATGATCCGGCGAGTACCAGGGGATGCCCGTGGAAGCGGGGGATGTTCTGGGAACCGGGAGGTGATCCGGGGGGACCGGGGGATGTCCGGGGAATTGGGGCATGATCCGGCGGGGGCCGGGGGATGCTCCGGCGAACCCAGGGGGCTGCAGCGCTCACACCTGCGGCTCCACGCGTGTCCCTTCCCCGCGGGATCCTGGCACACGAGTTGCTGCTGGCCCGGGGACGCCCCGTGCTAGCGAGCAGTGCGGATGCTCGGCAGGTCCCGGGGATGCTGCAGAAGGACAAGGACATGTGCAGGGGACCAGAGGCTCCCACAGTGTCAGGCACACAGAGCCCGCTCTCAGGTGGACATGGCCCCGGGGAAACCAAACTCCTGTGCATCAGAAACTGGGTAATGAGGCCGTTTGAGTTATTTGTAGCTCCTTGCGGGCTGGGATGGCCTCTCCTCCCGCTCCCTAGGCAGGATCCCTCCCGCAGGGACTCCAGAGCGATTTGCTCAGCTCAAATTGCCCTGATTTGTGCTTGGAGAATTCAGGTTGTGAGTTAGCCCAGTGGGTGCCCACAGCACTGGGTGGTACAACCTCTCACCAACCCTGGCAGATCTGTCTGTCCTTTTGGGATAGCCCAAACCAGAATTTCTGTAAAACTTGCCCCTTTTTGAGGGGGTGCAAGCTGACATTATGGGATACAGGGCCAGGACAGCACAGTGAGTCTCTGTGGGTTTTGCAAGTGGGTTTGTATCCATCCTTTGCTTATTTTCCCCTCTGCATCCCTGCTTTAACATCAGCTGCATCTGATTTCCCCTTCCCAGGGGCTCGGTCACCTTGGGCCTGGCAGCAGGGAGCAGCCAAGCTGCAGCGATGGGAGCTGTGACCTTGCTCGGTGTCCTTCAGGGCTGGCATCCTCCTGAGCCAGCATCCTTCAGGACTGGCATCCTTCAGAGCCCGTGGCCAAATCCCCAGGCTGGAAAAAAAGTCTGTGCCTGGAAGCACCTTTGCTTATCTCAGCTCCACTTATGTTGCAGCCATCACGACTCGCTGCCTGTAAGCAGAGATGGGCACCATTAGCCCCGCAGCAAACAGCTGCTGCAGCAAGTTCTGCTGGCAGAAGCACCCTGAAGGAGCTTGGGAGATTGGGATTGTTTGCCCACGGGCTGCCAGGATGGGCACAGCCCCAGGAGTGCCTGTGCCCTCCTGCCCCAGCACCCCCCGGGTGTGCTCACAGAGTCAGGGCAACGCAGCAATTTATTTTTCACAGCTCATTTCATTTGTCATCAGTGCGTCAGAAAGCTCTGATTCCCCTCTCAAGGCACCAGCTGGAAAACCTCTGGCTCCTCCACCTGGCAGCGCCTCAGGTCAGCCCTTTCCCCAGGGTGGAGTTTGGTGGGACTGTTCAGCTCAGCCTGCCCGAGTTCTCGGGAAGGAGCCTGAGATGTGACTTGATTACAGCCTGCGAGTGTCGTCCTGGGGAGAAAACTGCTGGCTATTAAAGGGCTCTTTAACTTGGCACAGAGAGGAATAATGAGAGCTGGGCCTGAAAGATAAAGTCAGGCAAATGGAAATTTGAAATCCGGGGCAGGTCTGCGGCAAGGAGGGTGCAGAGCAGCCGAAGCAGCACCCAGCAGGCACCTTTATCAAAGAGATGCCTGGGGCTGGGGGTCCTGCCCTGCGGGTGGCTCCGTCCTGCTTCGTGTTCCTGGCTCACGCAGCAGCAGGATGAGCAGCAGGAGTCCGGGGGCATCCTGGGTGAGGGGGATGGCGACTGAATTTTGCTTCCCAGGCACATCCGAAAGTCTGTCTCTTGCACAATATCTCTTCCAGAGCCTGGGAGCACATCAGACCCGGAGATGGCTTTGCTGGGACAGCTGGAGTTCCCCTCTCTGTACTAGAGGAAATTCCTGCAGAAAAGTCCTTGTGGTGGAGGAATTCGATCCCAAAAAGCAGAAGCCCTCTCCCCGTGTTGTTTCTGCATGGGAGCCTGCGAAGCGTGCGGGGGCGTCCCCGTCCCCTGCAGCCCCGCGCGTCCCCCGAGTCCCGGCGGAGTTAATCCTGCCTGTTCGCATGTCAGGATGCTGCTGGATTAAACAAGGGGATTAGCATCAAACAATTTCCCTCGCGCCCCGACCGGGAGGCAGGAAACATAATCAGTGTAGGTTTATTCTGCTTAGGTTCAAACAACTCCCTGGCGTGTGCTGTGCGATGCCAGCCGAGGCAGTGGCACAGCGGGGCACGTCCCCAGGGCACCGGGCTGGGGGTGGCAAAACCAGGGGTTGCCCATCCCAGGGGAATCAGGGAGGTGCCCCTGCTGCTTGGCACTCAGGTACCCACTGTGCCTGGTGTGGATCCCACCAGCCCAGCCAGGAGGTTCCAGTGCAAAGGAGCCATCCCTGCTTGGGAAAGGTTGCAGCCCTTCACTGGGTGTCCCCAGGAGGGTACAAAAGCCAGGACTGGGGAGACTCCAGCCCCCCACAGTCACCGAGCCCCCTGGCACTGTCCTTGTGGCTGCTCCTGCCAGCTGGGCTCAGCTGTGGATGGCAGAGGATGGAGCAGCCTCGCAGATGTAAAGGCAAATCTGTTTCCCAACAGCTCCTGGGTTCCCGAGCCAGGGAATGGTGATGCTGCTCTGATCTGATGGCAGCAGTGCTGCAGGCTGCCAGCTTTCACCCCAAGCTTCGTGCCCTCCTGTGATCCCAGGGCTCCCTGTTAGCACTGGGGCACAACCCTGTGCTTCAGCCACTTAGAAAAAGTAAACAAACCCCCTGATCCCAGGGTTTTGATGGAACAAGCTCGTGCAGCGCTGGCTGGAGCACAACAGCCCCATGCCTGGCAAAGAGACTTGACTTCTCTTCGGACCAAAGCGCTGTGGGAGCAGCTGGACTCACATCCCTGTGTCCTCACTGGCCCAGATCTTTTGGTCCCTGGAGGTTTCTTGGCTGCTTTCCTCTGAGGAACATTCCCAGGGCAGCCAAGTCCCTGGTCAGCTGAGAACAAGACCATCACACATGCCCACCTTGTTTTTCTAGGAAAGGGCTAAAAATACCATGCTAGGGCTGTGTGGAAAGGCCTGGGCAGATCCTCAGCTCCTGGAGTCAAGTGATTTACAGCCCATAGCCCGTGTGTGAGCCCTGCAGGGGCAGGGACAGTCCCTGGGCCAGGGCACGTCCCTGTGGGGCAGAAAAGCAGGGGGGCTGCACTCCCCCCTTCCTCAGCGCTGCTTGGGGTGGCCACTCTCCTTCTTGCCATTTTTAGGTGACTATTTGGGCTGGGAATTGGCAGGATGTGGCAGGGAGGGGACGCAGCACAGTGGGGTAAAACCCAGGCACAGCTGGCAGGTGCTGGCACAGTCTGGGGCCTGCAGGGACCCCCTGGCACAAGCTGCAATATCTGAAAACTCCCAAACAGAATTTCATGCACTAAATCTTAGGGCTGCAATTCTGCTGAGGCTTGGCTTTATAATTGGATCTGTCAGAAACCCGTCACACTTAATGTGCAGCTGCCAGCGTGCGTGCAGCTCCTCAGCGACCGCGCCGGCTCTGCTGGGCAGCGGGAAATCTGCTCCTGGGATTTTCCAGCTTGAGGAAAGCTCTAGTTTGTACCTAAACCTCTAACCCTGGCAGGAGGGCAGCCCTAGTTTGAACTCGAGGTGCCCCAATTTCCCTCTGTGCCAGGGAAGGCAGTGGGATGGGGACGATGCTGGCGAGGCCCAGCGTGGTTGTGTGTTCTTCACCTGAGTAATCAAACCCGTTGTGCAGCATTTGATTAAAGGCCACAAAACATATTATCTTTGATTCTTCCACTTTATTTTTGTTGCCTTCATTTGTCCCTTGGAGATGAGAGTTGCTCTGGTACTTATTAGTCACAAAGCCCCAACCTCGCGCTGCGTTCCTGCTATCTGAGAAATGAATTATTAATGGTGCATTAAACAGAGACTGGAAAGGGGCCCTGGGACACTGATAATCAGGAGCTAATTGAGGAAGAAATGAGATACTGCTCCCATTGCAGAGCAAGGACTGTGCAGTGCTGCGATACCAAAGGTGACCCTGCTAAAATTCCTGGGCCAACTGCGCCCGGCTCTGCCTGCTCAGCCCTCGCTGGTGGGTCATGAGTGCACCTGGCAAGGATGTGCTCCTGGCTGGGATGTTCTTCCTGGCTGGGATATTCTCCTTGGCAAATGGAACATCTCCCTTGGGGTGTTCTCCTTGGCTGGGATGCTCTGCCCTGGCCAGGAGGTTCTCCCTGACAGGGATGTTCTTCCTGACAGGGGTGCTCTGTCTCAGGCATCAGAAAAAAAACAGACAAATGCATTCATGGCCCTGGAAAGCTGCTGCATCCCAGATTTTCATGGCCTGAAGCACATCCCAGGGCTGGGCAGGAGTGTGGGCACAGGCAGCTCTCTGTGTGCCCGGGGTTGATATCCCACCTCAGGATGCAGGATCCTGCCTGGGCCTCATCTGGACTCCTTCACAAGTGACTGGGGATGAACAATTTCCACCAATTTTGTTTGTCCTCCCTTACTGTTTTTCCACACGGCTTTCAGCTGCGCCCCTCAGATTTCTCCTCCTCCACTCTGGCTGCATTAAAGGCTCACCCCAGCCCTGGCACCACGTGCCTCGGGTCCTGTGGGACATTGCCACACGGTCTGGAGGGTGGAGGAAGATGAGAGCATGGAGGATTGTCATTGTCACCTCCCTGCTGCTCTGACAACTGGCACGTGCCCAGAGTGCCCCATCGCCTCCCCTCTCCAAACCCCAGTGGAGGGTCAGGTTTAGGATTGTCCTGCTCCCCTCCTGGTGGGCTCAGTGCCACTTCCCAAGGCCCAGGCAAGGCTCCCTGCTCCAGCTCTGCTGCCACGTCACGCTGAGGCAGCCGCAGTTCACCCAGACTCCTTGCATAAATATTTATGCACTGATGCAACACTCTTCTAAATATAAAGCTTTATCTGAAATTTCATTTAAACATTAAGTGTAGATAATTTATTTATAATTAATGTAGACATCAAGCCCCATCTCTGGAATGCCTGTGAGCTTTCATTTATAATTGGGAGGTAAGTCAGGAGCTAGAGGCTGGGCTCTTATCAGTTTCATTTTAATTTTCCTCCTACAGCAAATGAAGCTGGTGCAATTCATCTCTCATTAGGAGGAAGCACAAAACTCCCCTAAAATAACAGTTTTATGAGGAACAGGTAATAAACCCATCTTTGTTCCTCTTCTCACCTTTGATAATCTTACTGGGGCTCACAGATCTATCCAAAGTGTTGCTCTTCCTTAAAAATAAGTCCATTAAAAATTAAAACCACTTTCCTATATAATAAAATTTACTCCCTGCAATTATGCAGAGGGAGCAGTTATCGGCCTTCTGTAGATTTTAATTAAAAGTTACAATAGGAAGGAAATAACAACGGCCATAAAATAACAGCAGCCTCTCCCCAGCAGTGAATTATTGCTCAGGTGCCTCTCCAAGTGCTGCTGGTGAGAGGTGCTGGGACAGCAGGTTCCAGGAGCAGGGCTGGGGGTGCCCCTTTCACTCCTGCAGCTGTGGGGGAGTTCCTGCACCCAGGGGTGCCCAGATGGGTGCTCAGCTCATCTCTGACCCGTTTGTGCTCTTGTTTCTGCACCCCAGAGAATGGGGGTGCCCTGCCTGTGGTGCCCATGGGTGGGGTTAGGGTGAGGATTAGGGTCATGGGTGCCCAGATGGGTGCTCAGCTCATCTGTGACCCGTTTGTGCTCTTGTTTCTGCACCCCCCTTAGAGAATGGGGGTGCCCTGCCTGTGGTGCCCATGGGTGGGGTTAGGGTTAGGGTGAGGATTAGAGTTAGGGTTAGGGCTAGAGTTAGGTTTAGGGTTAGGATTAGTGTTAGGATGAGGATTAGGGTTAGGGTTGGGGTTAGGGTTAGGGCTAGAGTTAGGTTTTGGGTTAGGATTAGTGTTAGGGTGAGGATTAGGGTTAGGGTGAGGATTAGGGTTAGGGTTAGCATTAGATTTAGCATTAGGGTTAGGGTTAGGGTTATGGTGAGTGTAAGGGTTAGGGTGAGGTTCACGGTTAGATTTAGAGTTAGGTTTAGGGTTAGGATTAGGTTTAGGGTTAGGGTTAGGGTTAGGGTGAGGGTATGGTTTAGGATGAGGTTTAGGATTAGATTTAGTGTTAGGATTAGATTTAGAGTTAGGTTTAGGGTTAGGATTAGGTTTAGGGTTAGGGTTAGGGTTAGAGTGAGCTTTAGGGTTAGGGTTAGATTATGTGTTAGGGTTAGGTTTAGAGTTAGGTTTAGGGTTAGGGCTGGCATTAGGGTGAGCGTTAGGTTTAGTATTAGGGTTAGGGTTAACATTGCCCTGCTGATGTGGCTGTGCACATCCTGGAGTGCAAACCAGTGTCCAGCTCTGTCAGGCTGTGGGCACTCATCTCCTCCCCCTGAAATCCCTCAAGGCACGTGGGTCCCCGCTGTGTTCCTCCAGCATCCCCAATTCCTTCCTTGAGAAGCATGTTGTGGCAGAGTGGTGCTGTGGAATCTGCATGTGCCTGGCCCAGATATTTTACAGAGCTCACAGAGACCTTCAAAGGCAGCTCACACTAAAAATAGCAGGTGCCCAGGCGGGTGCAGGGGCTGCTTTGGGAACGCGGCTCCTCCGTCACCTGCCAACACCTGCTCATGTGGGAAGGGCTGCAGCATGGAAAACCTCATTCCGTGTTTACAACAGCTTCTCCAGAGGGCAAGCCTTTCCTTTTGAGGCACCTCAGGCTCGTCTGGATTCAAGCACAGGTGCTTGTGGGGTCAGTGCCCTCACCCACACTGCTGTGGGGTTGAATGTCCCCTCTGGCCAGAGCTGGGTCACTGCTAATTGAGCTGATGAGAATCAGGTGAGAGCCAAGACGCTGGGGCTGGGGCAGCTGCACTCTCCCTGTTTCACCTTTTTGTTCTCCTGGAGTCTGGAGCTGCTGTGGTGTCACATCCCAGCATCCCACAAGCCATGTCAGCAGCACGTCGTGGCAGTCAAGGTGAACTGAACCACCTGGAGCCCAGCTGGGCCCCTGCACCCAGACTAAGGGCTGGGGACAGGTCCTGCCCTGTGCAGGCTGCAGGCAGGGCCAGTGCAGCCTCACTCAGCTCCCCGTGGGCTGCTGCTGCCCAGTGCTGTTGTTCCTTGAACCAGTTACAGCTGTCAAGTGTTCCACTGCTGCTCTCCTCATTGCCTTCCCTGGATCCTGGCTGTGAAGGTGCTAAACCCCCCCCTGATCTGGCTCTGAAACGTTTATGAAATCTTTATGGGCTTTTGAAAAGATTTTAATTCCCTGACAGTGCTGCTTTCACTGGGAAAAAAAAAATAAATTATGACTCAATGAGCAATTACAGCTCAACAGCTGCTGAACGGCCACGGCAGCTGCAGGAGCAGCTTGGCATGGCTCAGGAGCCAGAGAGCCTTCCTGGAAAGTGCTGCTGGGCCTGATCACCCCATACCCACCTTCCTTGGCTGGCTTGGCCCCTGAGCACGGCCTTTCCTCTGCCCACCTGTCTCCCATGGCGTGCTGTACCCAGAAACCTGTGCTGGCCCTGCCAGGGGATGGCTCTGAGAGCTGGGCACTGCAGCCAGCCGCTGCTGTGGGACCCCAGTGGGTGCTGCAGGAGGGATCCCCCTTCCCTGGGCGCCTGTGGTTCCACATTTGGGATTGGCAATGTTTCAGCAGCATCACGTCTGGGACAGTTTGTCACCCCTGCCCATCACCTGTCTCACTGGAGAGATGCCAGCAGTGTCCCTGGGCAGTGCCAGCACCTCCCTGCGTGGGGGCATGGCAGAGCTGCCAAAGCATGGAGAACATTGGTCTGATTCTAAAACTGCCTGTTTGCTGAAAGCAGAGCTGCTGAGCTCCAAAACATGAAGAAAGAGGAAGCATTGCCCTGACAGTGCCCGTTCCTTCCTGGCAGTGCCCGTTCCTTCCTGGCAGTGCCCGTTCCCTCCATCCTGGCAGCACCCAATCCTGTTTCCTCAGGGGCTCATTTCTGCTTCTTCAAGTGCACAAAATTGCTGTGCAGGACTGAGAATGGGGTGGGGAGAAATTTTGTGAGCAGCTACAGCGTGATGGAGGGGCTGGATGTGCTGTGCCCTCTGCTGCTCTGTCCCATGGCACTTCAGGGTGCTGCAGCTGGAGACGACCTTCTCTTTGCTTACAGTTTTGTCTTCAGCTTTGGAGATATCTGCAGCAATCCAAAATGTTTGAGGGTGACCGTGGTCTTGGCACAAACAATGTCTCAGGGATGAAGGGCTGCCCTTGGAAGAGGGAAGCCAGATTCACATGGAGGGGAAGAAATGCATCCACACTCCCCAGTGCTGGAATTCTGGGAGCTGTGGGTCAGCTAAGAGGTCTCATCTCTGCATTTCCTGATCCCCATGCCTGGAAGGGGAGTACAGTCCCTTCCCTGCATTGTGCTGGAGGCAGGATTAAGCAGTTTCTTCTCAAATTTTACATCTTGAATTTCTAATTTGTAGTTCAAATAAAAAATGAGACAAAAGATTATTTAGTTACTCCATCAACAGGGGGCACATTCCCACATCAGGATGAGGCTGAAAGGCTTAAAGTAAATGAAAAAGGTGTGGAGAAGCCCCAGCCCTGCCTCAGCTCCTTGGAGAAGGCTATACCATCATCATCTGGCTCCTGACAGCCAAGGTACAGTAAAGCTTCAGATCCATTAGAGCGCCTGTAATTATTTATAGAGAGGAAAAAAAAAACCCCTACATTGTGAAAATCAGATGGCACAGCAAACAAATGCA